GAGTACACTCCACTATGCAACCTTAATTCTGGACTCTTGTGATAACCATAATACCCTATCATATATCATTTTTAAGCTATTCTCTCCCTCATCTGTTTCAGTGCAGTATACATAATTTATCCAGTTTTTCTCATTCTTATCCCAACCCTGATGTTTCGTTCTACAACAGTGGCACCATTCAGTATTTGTCCTTTTGTGACTGAGATATTTCACTCAGCATAATATCCTCCAGGGTCACCCATTTTGAATAATATTGCATGGGTTTCTTGTTTTTCAATGCAGTGTAGTATTCCATTGTGTGAATATACCACAGCTTCTCTATCCATTCGTTCGTTGTTGGGGGTATCTTATAATATTTTTCAGATACATTCATTAAGTCTCAGTATTTTTGAAGATCCAAAATATAATTATCTCCCATTTCCAGCTCAAAATCTCCTTCCATTTTCTTCTTCAGCTCTTCAGTCTCCATTCTTTTCTTACATGCTACTCCTGTCAGGATGAAAGGAGGCCTTTCCTTATCATCTCTTTTGTTTGATACAGCTAAGTGCAATCTGTTCAGCACCTCATTCACTTTATTTCCTTTCATTTTGGTTTTAACCGAAATGAAAAGCCAAAAGTCTATCACAGGACTCTGTTTTAACCTGAATAACACCTTCCTCAGTCACCATGCTGGCCTCTATTACAGAAAATCCTTCGGTCTACAAATCTATAAATATTTTCTGATTATTTTCAGAAAGTTCAGCTATTCTCTTTGCATCACCTTTTACAACAATAAGTGGCTTATTGATAAACAAAGGCCTGATGTTTTGGAAGCGTTCAAGCTGCTCCTTCAATCCATGACCATGCTGCTCAGACAGATCCATCACGTACTGACGGCAGCACGTAGGTGGGCCAATGCTGTGATGGCTTGCATCTCAATGGTGTTCCGATCCTCCAGAGGATGATCCAAAATTCCTGGAGTATCAACAACCTGCCAACAAAGATACTTATAATCCATGTGCCCAACAAATAAAGATTTAGCTGTAAAGGCATAAGGCTGAATATCCACATCAGTTCTTGTCACTTTATTGATAAAACTGGATTTTCCAACATTTGGGTAGCCACTCAAAAAGCAGAGTTCTGGAGTTTGGATCAATGGTTGGCAAATGGGATGAATGTTGATGAACTTGTTCCAAGGATTTCAAGCTGGGTTTCTGTCTATTGATAATAGTACACATTCACCCAGGGCAGCACGTTTCAGCCGTTTATAGTGATAGAGAGAATCTCCATGTTTTATAAGTCTGACATAATCTTTAGCAACGTTGTCCACTAAAGTTTTGGCAATGTTTCTTTGTCCAAGAGCCAACTTATAATGATCCTTGTCATAGAGAATAGTCATCAAATCAGCATAAAAATGGATGGATATCATCCAACTTGGGGAAATCTGTTAAAATGTGAGACAAGTCTGTCATGGTAATCCTGTTGAGTAAATTTTATTTTCCTCATGTAAAAATGTCTAATGTGATGAATTTTGGCAATGTTTATGAATTACGGTTGGTGTCTTTCACTGATAATGTCAGATCAATAAAATCCTTGGCCGACAGGACCACCATGATCTTCTTGAAGGTGTAGTGCACCATGCCCGCACTTAGGGAGTCAATTATCAAAAACCCACCAACGAAACTTCAGAGGAAATGGTAGAAAACACAAAGAGACATTCTTCTGCTATTCTTTGCTCTCAGCCAGCATCCATCTGACATCATTGGACATATTGTTGTTCTTGTTATGTGCTGTCGAGTCACCAGCAACTGATAGAGATCCTATGTACAATAGTTCCGAACCGTGCCCTCTCATGAGCCAATCTCATCATCTCTGACAGACCTAACCCCATTTCTCTAGTCACTGCATCAATCCATCTCATCCTGGGCTTCCTCTTATACCCTGTCCCTCCACCCTTCCAAGCATGATGTCCTTTTTTTAAGAACCTGTCCCTTCTGGCCATGTACTCAAAATATATGAGATGAAGAGTCGAATCCTTGCCCCCAGGGAGCATCTTGGTTTCACTCTCTTCAGGACAAAACTGTTTATTCTTCTGACAGTCCACAGTATGTTCAAAACTTTTTTCCAGCACCATGACTCAAAGACATCAATTCTTCTATCATTTTTAGTCATTGTTCACCTCTCTGACATATAGCAAGTAATTGTGAAAGCCTTGGTTTGTATCAGGCATACCTTAGTCTCCAGACTGTTACCATTGCTTTTTAGTACTCTAGAGGGGTACCTGACACCAGACTTTTCCAATCTAATTTGTCTTTTGATTTCTTAACTGCTCATGCCAAGAGTGTTGATTGTGGAACCAAGCAAGCTGAAGCTGTTAACAATCTCAATCTCTTCTCTATCATAAAGATGTCAATTTGCCCAGTGGTGAGAATCTTTCTTTTCTTGATGTTGAGCTTCAATACATATTGAAGGCTACAGTCTTTAACTTCTGCAGCAAGCATTTCAGGTCCTCCCCAGGTTCAGCAAGCAGGGTTGTGTCATCTGATAAAGCAGGGTGTTGATGAGTCTTCCTCCAATTCTGATGCCACATTCCTCCTTATAGTGCCCAGCCTCCTGGATGATTTGTTCTGCACATAGATTGAAAAGGTATGGAGATAGGATGCATCCCCAATTCACACCTTGCGTGATCCTGAACCATGCAGTGTTTCCCTGCTCTGCTCTGAGGACTGCTTTCTGATCCAAGTATGGGTTTCATACTTATGTTTTGGGCAATTCCTTGGAGAGTGACATCATGCTTGGAAAGGAGGAGAGAGGATGAAAGAGAGGAAGACCTTCAGCCAGATGGACTAACACAGTGATGGCAACAGTGAGCTCAAATATGTCAGAAATTCTGAAGATGACAGGGTTCACAGGGTTCATGTCTGTTGTTCATAGGGTCGCTATGAGTTGCACTCAGTGGCAGCTAACAACAACAACACCTTACTTTACTAGAATCTACACACTGCCTTCTAGACCACATATGGTGAATGGCCAAAACTAGAATTTCTTCTCGCCTAATGTCAGGGTTGAGTAAGCTGATCTTTTTTCCCCAGAAGAGGGTAGTGGTGTCAGTGTGTGTACCCTTGTATCCAAGGGCGGCCAACAAATAGTTGTTTGCTTGGTACATATACAGAACCTGAAGTGCCCATGGGTGTATGTGTGAGGTCCTCAGTGTTTTTATGATGGAGTTGGATATGAGAAGAGAAGGGAGGTGGGTTACAAACCTGCTTTACTCATGCTCTCGTGTTCTTTTCCAGAATTCCAGTATCTGAGAGTTCCAGTTTCAAACCCAGTCTTCTCTAGCATGTTGTTGTGAGGTGTTGTGGAGTTGAATGCAGCTCAGAGCAACTCTATGAACAATAGATCTGAACTCTTTCCTAGCCTGTCAAGCTCATTGTTGTAGTCACTGTGTCAATCCACCTGGTTGAAAGTCTTCCTCTCTTTCGCTATCCCACCACCTTTGCATGCATGATGTCCCTCTCCAAGGAATAGCCTCTCTTAACATGTCCAAAGTATAGGACGTGAGATTTCTCCTCTCTGCCTTCAAGGAGCACTCTGACTGCACCTTCCCTATGACATATTTGTTCTTCAATACCACAGTTCAAATACATCCATTCTTATTCTGTTATCTGTATTCACTGCCCAGCTCTCAGATGCATAGCAAGTGACTGTAAAAATCAAGACCTGAACCAGCCATATCTTAGTTCTCAAACTGACATCATTGTTCTCAATAACCTGGAGGTGTCCCTGACTGCAGAGTTTCCCAGTGTCTTTAGCAACAGTGATAGACTGTGTTTTAGTCATTAGTTTACTAGCTTGATTTAAAATAGTTAGACCTATGTACATGAGTTTCTATTTGTACTTTTGCCTCAGGCTGGAAATTCTTATGGGGATGGGGTGGATACTACTCTTAACATTTCATGGTAATACAGGTAGATAATAGACATTAGAACTATCTGAGCTCATGGGAAGTCTTGACCCTGGTTATCATAACTGACATTTAAGCAGATGTATGCACACACCCATGTTTATCATGGCTTTGTTCACAATAGCAAGGAGTTGGAAACAACCTAAGTGCCCATCAACAAACGAATGGCTAGAGAAGCTGTGGTATATTCACACAATGGAATACTATGCTGCATTAAAAAACAAGGAACTCATGAAATATTATTCAAAATGGATGACCCTGGAGGACATTATGCTGAGTGAAATATCTCAGTCACAAAAGGACAAATACTGCATAGTGCCACTGTTGTAAAATGGGACTGACATCAGGGTTGGGGGAACCTAAGAAAAGAGGGGATAGATAATGTATACTGCATTGAAACAGATGTGAGAGAGAACTGTTTAAAAGGAATATAGGATTAGGTATTATAGGTATTATTTTCATGACAAGATTACAGAAAAAGAAATGTGTAGTAAGGTGGACTGTGGACGGGGGGGGGTTTAGATTATTTTTTTTTAGCTTTTTTTCAAAGACAAAGACAAACTGAGGGGAGGGGTGGGTAGGGAAGAAAATGTGCAAAATGAATGAATGGGGGAAAATTAAGTGGAAAGAATATACTGAGAAAGAAAGAAAAAATAAGGAAGAGGACATTGTGATGTCCTCAGATCTGTGCATCTTGAGTAAATTCACCTGCTCAGCACATTCCAGGAATGTCCTCTACTCATAGGTACAAGTATTTTCCTTTATAGTAGCTGCTTCTCATAATAATAAAGATGCAGAAAACACAGGCTAAACCCAAAGGTCACCACACAAATGCCCAAGCCTTCTTGGATCAGTACATTAGAACTGTTCTTCACATTAGACTTTTGACTGGGATTAAAACAAGGTTTTAACTCTTACATTCTATATTTCTATCTATGGATAAGTTTGTAGAGCTGTTCTGACAAACCACAGCCCAGCAGCTTTCTTTTGGTCTCTATTGCTCACTTGGCTTCATGTTTAATATATACTCTCATGTGTCAATATTTCTCTGCAGTCTATGAGACCGCGTCCACCAAATCCCTGGTCACAGAGTCCGGTCCTTGGACTGAACGCAAGAAGCCAATCACCACTTGTCAAAGACCTACGCATGAACTGGGAAAAACTACTTGACGTGGGGCCATCTGGACTCCTTGACAACTCAGATCTCTAACTAGGTAGATATTCAGAGAGAATTTTCCCCCCTAACAAAATCATGCCCTTCCTCCCTCTCTAGGCTCAGATCCTCTCTTGCTCTGAGATGCAGGCAGCAGTGGCGCTGGCTGCACTCTTGACCCTTTAGTGAATATTATACAATCTCTTTGATCACTATAAAGAGAGGCTATTTTACAACCAACCTGATTTTCTTTGTGTTCTGTTTACGCATAAAGTTAAAGAAAATGGATTTATTACAATCACATTAGGTGATAGAATCCATTTTTTCTATATTTCAGAAGGTCATATATGTAAAAATACTGATAATCTATAAAAAGGTAATATATGGAATATGAATTGGCCTTCTAAATTTTACTAGAGCAAAAAAAATTCTAATATCAATCAATTATGTTCCTCTATCTATCTGTCTACCTACCTACCTACCTATCTAAAAAACAAGAAGCTGTGCTATAATCCAGAAGGCACTTGGTTTGAGGCCACCAGCTGCTCTGTGGGAGAAGGATGGTCAGTCCTCTTCCATTCAATTAACTGCCTCTGAAAACCCTCTGGAGGGGCCACCTATTGGTTGGTTTTGACTCTGTGGTAGACAACAACAACATACATATATTCACACACACAATTGTCATTAGGTGCCATCAAGTGGGAACCAATGGTTATCAGAGACTGTAAATCCCACAGGAGGAAATTGTCCCTCTTTCTCCCTTACATCAGCTGATGAATTCGAATCATGTGCCTTTGGATTCATAGTATAATTCCCTACTTACTTGGCCACTTGATCAGGCTCCCAGAACATATATATGGGCTGGGGGTTCTCTCTCCCCCAGTCTCTCTTTTATCATGTCTTTCTCTCTCTCTTAATATCACTGAACTGTGCATTTAAAATGATTAAGATGGAAAATTCATTAATTTTTAACAAATTAACAGAGAGAGAGGAGAGAGAGAGAGAGAAGAAGAAGAAAAGAGAAGACGAGAGAGGAGACAAGAGACAGAGAGGAGAGAGAGAGAAAGAGAGACCAAGAAAGAGAGAAGAGAAATAGGGAGAGAGAGAGAGAGAGAGAGCCCCTAGCCAATAGGGAGTTGTGCTACTAACCACATTCCTCTAGCAGTTGGAATCCAACACCACCTCCGCAGGAGAAAGAGAAACTATCTCCTCCAGTATGATTTACATCCTCAGAAACTGGAGGGTCAACTATGAGTCAGTTCTGACTCAATTGTAATGAGTTTGTGTGTGTGTGCACATGCGCACGTACACACACACACACACACAGAGCGTTCTGGTGATCTACTGGGAAAGGAGTTGCACTGCCAACTCAAAGGCGGGCAACTCCAGTGCACCAGCTGTTCTTAGGAGAAAGATGGGGAAGATGAACAATCTCCTTCATGGTGATTTACAGCCTCTGAAAATCGTGCTTGAAGATCAGTTACCATTCTGTTTTAACTCAACAGCAATCCATTGCATTTTGGCATATTTTTTTATCTGTATGTTTAACAAATTTGCCATCTTAACAATTTTAAATGGATGGTTCAGTGATGTCAATTGTATTTACAATGTTGTGTAAGAATTACAACTTGTTGTTGTTGTTATGCCATTGAGTCTACTTAATTTTTTTTCTTTGTCCCAAATAGAAACTATGTACCTTTTTAACAATAATTCCTCTTTCCCCAGTCTGCTTTTAATCTATTTTCTAACTTTATGAAAGTGTCTAGTGTACATATTTCATTTAAATGGCATTATAAAAAATGGCATTACACATTTGTCATTTTGCATTAGGCTCAGTGTCTTTTGAGAGTTACACAAAGAGCGCTCTGAAGTCCAAACTACAATTCCATGTGTCTGCAAAAGAAATAGTTTGGAAGGTGGTTTTTCTTTTAAATACAAGTCTAATCTTGTTCCAGGACAGGTTCTTATAACTGCAGGGCAAAGTGGAAGTCATGTCACTGAACTGTTTTGTGTATGTGTGTGTGTTTCATATACATTGTGTTTTATTCATATTTCACACATTCCTTCATTGACATTGTGTTTCATGTGATGGACTGTTTTTTGGTTTTTTTGTTTTTTTAAAAAAACAAAGAAACAAATGTTTAATCCTTTCCCTTTCTCTACCCTGTGTGTGGATGTGAACACTTTTAGATCTCTGGGAAGCATTTCTGCAGTTTCACAAATTCATTGGCAATGCCTATAAACTTCAAGGGACTCACATCTTAAAAGATTCAGGCATCATGAAACAGCTGCAAACTGCATCTATATCCTAAAATGGGATTCCATACCCAAAGCACATAAGAACTCCAGGTTTGGGTTGGGTTTGTTTTTCTTTCCTAAGTGTTGATTATTGTTTATGTCCTTAAAAACTTTGGGACATGTAATGACAAAAGTAATGCCAATATGGATCTCTCCCTTTCTGTATCTTTACCATATTCTCCCTTTATATGACTCTGTTATCATTATTTAAAAAATAGTATTTTTCCTATGAACTCCTTGTTGTTGTTGTTGTTGTTATGTGCCATTGAATTGAAACCACCTCATAGCTGACCCTCCAGCAAGTTTTCAAAGGCAGTTGATCAAATAGTTTAAACTCGATGGCACTTAACAACATTTCACGGAAGACGGTTGCCCATCCTTCTCCAGCAGAGCAGATGGCAAATTAAAACTGCATGCCTTTGGGGTTGTAATGTAGTTTCTCACCACAAGGCCACCAGAGCCGCCCATGAATTCCTAGAACCCATGACGTATGTGGGGGAGGAGGGTAGGGATGCAGGAGTGCCAAGAGGTATAAAAGAGCCTAAAAGGTAGGTTATCAATCAATCATCTGTGTAACAGAAATTTTCCCTCTCTCGGATTCATTTAACCCATGCAGGTAGTTATAAGGGAAATGCTAATCCAACAAGCTCTGTCACATACAAAACTCAAACCTCACTGTCTTTGGGTCAGCTCTGCCTCATAGAGACCCTTGCTCCATGGGTTATCAAGGTCGTGAATCATAGCAGCTCTGGTGGCCTCGTGAGTAAGGAGCTGTGCTCCTTATCCCTAGGCAGGCACCCACGGCTCCATAGAATCAAGATAGGCCATCTCCTCCGGTGCGATTTACATCCTCTGAAACCCACAAGAAGATCACACAGCACATAGCTACCACCACCACAAATCTTAACAAGAGGAGATTGCTCTTCTTTATCCCTCAGAGCAGCTGGTGCATTCAAACTGCCAGAAATGCAGCCTTTTGGTTCGCAGGCAACACTAACACCAGAGCTTCACACTATTAAAGTTATTTTCCTATCCGTGGGACTTGAAGATTCTGAGATCTGATTACCATGAGATGTTCAAAACAAGGTATAATTCTATACAAGTACTTACCGGACCTCTCAATCTTTGAATGTGTCATCTAATGGTGAAAGGACTTTATTGTGTACTCTTTGCATTGCTGGCAAGAACAAGAGAGCCGAGCGGAACTCTTCAGCCGGCAGCCAGCCAGGCTGGACAGAGGGTCTATTAGGCAGTCGGCATTGTGGGAAACGGGGCAGTAGTGCAGAAGAAGAAATAGCCCTTGTCCTTGAGGGTATACAAGGTATTTTATAAGACACACATGTAAGAACCTCCCAAACACAATATGCCTAATCAAGTGAAAATTGTGTAGCACATGGCAGATGTGATGTAGGAGTTCAAGGGTGGTGAAGGGGGGTTGGTGCTGGAGTAGCCATAGAGACACAGTAACTTGTGTTGGTTCAAAAAGACTCACATAGGCAGGGAAAAGGCAAGGTGGGAGAACCTTTCAGTTAGGAGAATGGCACACAAAAGACTGGAGGAAAGAATGAGCTTGGCGGAGGTCCGCAGTTAGCTCTAGCTCTTTTTTTCTTGTTTCCAAAGTATTTCATTTGTTAATTTGTGATGGAGAAGCTGAGTGTACATTTCCTTACCTTTGATGAAGCTTTGTCTCACGTATTTTAGTCATGTTGTTAGGAGAGGTTATTCCTTGAGAGGGACATCATGCTTGGAAAGGTGGAGCGACAATGAAGGAGGGGAAGATTCTCAATCAGGTGGATTGGCACAGTGACGACAGCAATAGGCTTAAGTGTGTCAGAGATTATGGGGATGGCACAGGACAGGACAAGATTCAGATCTGTTGTTCATAGGGTTCCTGTTAGTCATTCTCAACTTAGTGGCACCACTTAACAACTATATATTCATATATAGTTTTGTCTATATATTCACATGAACATAATGTTATAATGACAAAACATTGTAGAAGCTCCACAAATTCTTTATAAAAGATCCTACTTCTCTTTCCTGGCTGAAACGTTTGTTGATGATTCTTTTTAAAAGGTTGTCTACACTCTTGTAGCACCTCTTTTCAACTTTTCTTTCCCTTTCTTCTGTAACAGACATCACTAACTCCACTGGTTGATCAAACAAGTGACTGAGCCCTATCCTGCTGTAAAAGGAAGCATCTCACAAAGGATTTAATAGACATTTCACCAAAGAGAACATTCAAATAGCCACTAAACACCAGAAAAGATATTCAGTAACATTAATCATCAGAGATATGCAAATGAAAACCACAATGAGATATCATTTCACCCTGGTGGCCTGGTAGTAAGAAGCTGCACTGTAATCCCAAAGGCACAAAGTTCAAATCCACCAGCTGCTCCACTGGAGAGGAATGGAGAGGAATCTCTTCTTGTGCATTTAACATCCTCTGAAAACCCGCTGGAGGGTAAGCTACAAATTGGTTCCAAGTCAATGGCACACACAACAACAAGAGAGCTAATGTAAACTCTGGTGGCTTAGTGAATAGGCAGTTGTGCTGTCAGGTGGTTCAAACCCACCATGGGCTCCATAAGAGAAAGATGGGCAATCTCTTATCATTTGACTTACAGCCTCAGAATACCCTTTGGAGGGAAAGTTCTGAGTTGGTTCTGACTTGAGGGCAATGAGTTATGTTGAGGATGACTAATATAAAAAAATGTTAACAAGATATAAATAAATTAGAATTCTTATCTATTGCT